AGAGAGAGAGAGAGAAGGGGGCAATAACAAGCCTGATTTTTGTTTGGATGGATTTGATTTTTATTTTTATTGAAGGGATGGCACTATGTGGGCGCCCAGATTGTCTAGGCGCCCGCCTTAGGCATGCCCACCGAGACCCACATCCTAGGCTACGCCTTGCCTAGGCGGCCGGGCGGCCGAATTTTTGTTCACTGGTAATATCTAGTGTGGCTCTTGAGAGGGCAGAATGGCGGATCAGGATTCGTGTAGCTGACCCCAAATAGTTGAGAAAAGGCTTTGATGATGAGTGATATCCAGTGATTAAAACATTGACGATTTGATTTGGAACTGCCGTAGTTGACTGCCCTCTGAAATCGGGAGTCATCAAAGAAGCTTTTTTCTTTTATGTTTTTTGAGACAGAGCTTAAAAACCATAGATTCTCCCCCATTTTTTGAACCTTCTCTCATCTATCTTTTGACAAATTGATATTCGCCTAGCTCCCTTCATATCTAGGAACAAAATTTTTGGATCTAAGCCATTTTTGGATTAAAAAAACTCAGCATTTCAGTTTGAATTGATTTAAACAAAGTTGGTTTCAACAACTAGAATCGATTTTTCAACATTTTTTTGAAACAATATTTCTCATCATTGTTTTACAGTATGTTGAAAAGGAATCATCTTTTTGAATCGTTTCTCGACATATTCTATTGATTGAAATACCCAATCCGTTCTTTCATTGTTTTTCAACATCACGTTTCATTCTATTAACTGAAAATGATTATTTTGCAATTTTTCGTTTTCTCTTGTCTTTTTTCTTTTTTTTTTTGGCTTTCAGTTTTTTCAATGAACCGGCTGGTTCGACTAGGAACGATGGGTGACTGATTCAACCCACAGGTCCGATCTTTTAAACACTGGTGATATCCATGATATGCATGTTCTTCTAATCGTTATTCTGCACATTGGAAATGCTAAATTCTGATTTACGTAGGTCTTGATATGGGACTTCTCAACTAATGTTTGCATGTTACATATTTCTAATGTTTTCATCTTTCTTATCCTTATCAGCTAAAGCAAAAGATTGCTTCAGCGACATCTGCCATTAAATCTGTTTTTGGGAAAGAAGAGGTCCAAGACAGTTCGGTAAGGGTCTAGCCCATTGACCTTTATTAGGTCTGATGTCAAATGATAAACATGATGTTCAAAAAATTGGTTTCTATCTGCAGTCTGACAAGCTAGAGCAACTAAGGGAGAGGATGGGGAAGGTGCGAGAGCTTTTCCGTGATACAGACTCAACAGAGTTTGTTATTGTAACAATCCCAACGGTAAACTTCACCCTTCCTTTTTCTTCTGGAATCAACAGAAAGATCTCAATTGGACTGCCCGTCAGGAGTGGCCCTAAAATTTGGATTCAATCTGACCATCATACTCTGTATTCGCCATATTAAACCATTTGTGAGTGTAAACAGCTGTCTGTTGTGTTTCCATGCTCAATGGGCGTGCCACTAATTGTGCTTTCCCTAAAAGTAACTTGACAGGTGAAGGAACCCCTGAAACTACGTTAGAAAATAGGCCCAAAATGTTGCTTGACAATTTCCATTCGAGGAAGTAGCATCAATCTTCAATTTAACTTATCACACAGAAAATACAAGCTTTCCATAACACCATGAGTGACAGAATATTAAGAACTCTTCCACTGAAATTTAGGCAAAAAAGAGCTCCAGCATTTTAGGAATTGCTCTTCCAAAACTTCAAGCTAGATTCACTTTCATTATAATGGCCGCTGCCAAAACAAATTGGTCAAGAATCCAGATGATCCCCCAACCTCCAGACCACTTGATTTTATCGCATAGAATATTGAAACAACATCAAAGTTGAAAGTATACTATATAAAACTCATGAATCCCATACTGTATCATTAGTGGTTGGTAGCAGGCTGGGGGTAACGAACTCACGTCAACAAGAAGGTTGAGGCTCAATGGTGACTTCCATAAAAGAATGAAACCACATAATGAGAATACTAAAAGTATACCTGATAAGATCGAAGCATTGAAAAACGTATCCAGTAATTTAGTACAAAGTAAAAAGTGAGCTTGCAAAGGTGCCGAGATCAATGCTTTTAAGACAAGATCAGAGGTCAAAATCAGCTGGGGCACTGATTTGGTTGGACTAGTCAAAAGAAAGAAAAAATTTTAGAAAAATAAATTAAATTTAAAATAAATAAAAATAGAAAAATCTGGAACATCTAGAAAAATTAAAGAAAAAAAAAAAAAAAAAAAAAAAAAATATTAGGAACCAGCTATAAGACCGCATGAAAAATATAAACAAGAAAATATAACAAATGCTAAAAAACTTGCTCAAAACCGTTTTGGACTGGCTGGTACACACTGGCTCAACCAGTCTGAATGCCCAACCTGTTCGGGACCTCTGAACTGACTGGTCAGGGCACTGGTCTCCAGTCTGAACCAGCTGGTGAGGTCCGGGGTTAATAACATTGGCCATGATGAAATAGAAACATAAAAGAGAAATAAATCAGAAGAGAATAAATCATTCTCTATCGCACGAAACTAAATATGTTGCTACAATAATTCTTAAATCCAAATAATTGATTCACGAGACAAAAAATAAGAGCACTATATAGGAATTTATTAACAACAAAGAAATTCACAAAGTGACTTCGATTATTATTATGAATTTTTATCGGTCTTCTAGACTTTGTATTAGGGTATAAGACTTATTTTAGTTTTAAGTCTGGCCTCCTTTGATCCAAAGTTTGTTTATGCAGTTTAGTAATGTCGAGTGATTTAATTTTTTCTCGCTGATTGTATTTGATTTATCTTTTTATGGATACATCATTTGGCTTACAGGAAATTGCGCACTTGACTTCCATATGCCCTTATCATTATTTAAAGTTTTACAACAGATATGCATAGTGTTTTACATTTTCCACATTCTTTTATATTAGGGAAAAGTTTATATAGAGCCTAGGCTCTAAACAATCAAATTAGAGCCTACCTCAAAACTTTCCCTAGAAGAGGTTGTTTAGATGCCCAAATATCATCAAATTGATCATCTCGACATCGAGATGCTTGGACACGAGAAAAAATTGGATTTCAAGTTTTGGAAATAGTGCATCTTGTAACACATTTTTGGACCGTTAATTTTCAAGATTTTTAAGTTTTCATAGATCTGCTCGATCTATAGTATTTTTGAAGCATTAAATTTTATAACTACAGATGAAAATATAATTTAAGGCTATCACAAAACTTTCCAGTATTGAAACCATATTTCTCGACACTATTTGAAGGGCGGCTCTAATTTGATTGTTTGGAGCCTCGGCTCTGTACAAACCGCACCCTTTATATTATATACTGTAATCAAGCATTGAGCAATGGATGCATGCGTTTATACTATGAATGCATAATGGATTGTACTAGCTGGTTTCCTAAACTTATATCAGGCATTTCCTCTGTGCACACAAGGTCATGGCTGTCAGTGAATCATCGAGGTTGAGAGCTTCCTTACGAAAGGAAAATGTTCCCGTCAAGAGACTTATTGTTAATCAAGTCTTACCACCATCTGCATCAGACTGCAAATTTTGTGCTATGAAAAGAAAGGTAGATGAGGTCGATCAAACTTATAAATTGAGGGACAGTGTCTTCTTTGCTTTCCCTACTTCATGCACATCTATTTTTGGGACTCAAATGTTACTGTCCATAGAACAGCTGCTGGTGCTTTTATGTTGTGTTATTCATTCTATTTGACTTGTTCATTGACATAAAATCTGGACTGCGCTTTGGAAATATGGACGCTTACATCTGAGCTTGCTTTGGCGACAACCTTTTAGCTGAAGCTCATTGTTGATGATTCCTTGTCGAATACCTGTTTCCCCATGAGGAAATTTACCGAAATCCAGTGTGATAAGGAAACCATAGTCCCTTTGGTTATCATCAGCTGTTGAAGACTGTGTGTGTGTATGTGTGTGAGAGAGAGAGAGAGAGAGAGAGAGAGAGAGAGAGAGAGAGAGAGAGAGACAGTAGAGTAGAGTGTGTCGTGGTCGTGGTGTGTCTCTCTCTCGTACTACTCTACTACGTTACGTTACGTTTAACGTCGTACGTGTACG